TTTTAAAATACGCTTATTTTGTAAAATGAAGTTTTAAATGAATAATATTTTTTCTTTAGTATCCTTAATAAATCTGCTTATAGCTAATAAAACAGAATCTCATCCTAAAATGTAATTTTTGAAGTTTGAAATTTAAGAAAAAAAAATAAAAACATCGTTGAAAAGAATGAAAAAAATCCTTTTTTAACTTTTCAGGCATATAATTATGATTTTATTTTATTTTACTTGTTGGATTTTATGTTTGTTTTGCACATTATTTCATGCATTCATTCCAAACTTTGCATTGTGCAATAATCAAGACAAGTGAAGCTTCTGTGTCGCATCACTACTCAAGGCAAACAAAACAGTAAACAAAGCCAGTAATGGTGCACATTCCCTGTACACAACGAGAAAGATGTCAAACTTACATTCTCCATAACTTCTAAACGGTAATCAAACGCAATGTTTTAATGTTATTTTCAAAATAACCAGGTAATTTCACAGCAGAATGGTACGTTCTCAATTCAGGGGGCTTTTGGTGCTTATACTGCAAATTTACCTTAAAAATATTACACATAGTATATTTTGGCATTAAACATGTTTTAAACATGTTTAATTGAATGTCACAGATTAACTTGTGATTTTTTTTTTATTATTCAGTATTTATAAAGTCCTTACAGTTTTTGTTTTACAAGGATGGCTTATGGCCACATTTTGAAAAACTGGTTCTTCTATGAATACCAAAGTTAAGGAACATTGAATGTAGATAGATGACTACTTGGGAATACCAAGTGCTGTAATGTTGGATATGTGGGTGGTGTAATTGATAATGGCTTGGAATTGTTACTCAAAGAGCTGAGTAATAAAACGTGCATGCAGTGCTGTTGCGACTAGTGCACTGACAACGTATGTATTTTCAGTGTAGTTGCTTAATACCTGGGGTTGCGAAAAATCTCGTGATGAAAAATGGGGTCATGAATGAAAAAGTTTAAGAAGCACTGTACTAAAGTATGAAACACGTGACACAAAAATATTTTTCCCACTTTGTCACTAATCTTCTTAACATATAATTTCCCAAATACCTTAAATTAAAGTAATTGAAGCTCTCCCTCACCTGAGGTGCCCTTAGAGGAAGGAGCATTTCTCCCATCTGCTTGACCTAGTCTGGTGAATTTAATTATTAATCTTTTCATGACAACACCTGCCTCTATATTTGCATGTTGTATCATACGAGCAGGTGTATGTCTGTATCCTTAATAACTGTGTTTGAGTTATTATCCGAGTAACAACAGAGTATTAAAAATGAGAAAACTTAAGTACAGAAGTTCAATTAACTTGAAAGTGTCTTAACAGAGGATGGAAAAAAACAACACCGAAATCTGAACATGCATAGGATTAGTGAAAAGTACATTCCAAAATAAGCAAAGTATAAAGAAAACAGAAAATTTTGGATTACAATGTGATATCTGTCTGCTTGTTTTTAAATAATTTCATCCCAAGTAAGGCAATAAAGCCACTAAGATGCAATAAATGCTGCACAATCTCCCCACAGATGAAGAGAAAACTGGAGGCAACAGGAATGTGATTCTACAGAAGGATACTGAGAATTCCAAGTAAGCAATGAGAAAATCTTAAAGACAGTGGCAACATACAGAACATTTATATCCAGAATCAGGAAGAAACGGCTGAAATTCCTTGACCACATAATGAGAAAAGACAGCTTGGAAAACTTAACCCTCACAAGGCCTATTTAGAGTAAAAGAGATAGAGGAAGGCAGCAGGCCACTTATCTGATGCACTTTTGTGGACAGATTTGAAATGGGGGATCGGAAACTTGGCAAAGGGAGAAAACCTGCTAAGGGCCACAAGGGATAACTCAGTGTATGGCTGTTATAACAAATATTAATCTAGGAGAACATAGTAGCGATTTTCTAAGCACAGCTTAGATGTGGCACAAGGCCGAAAGTATGGGGCACCCGGTGAGGATTGAACTCACTACTCAGTCATAATTGGTCTAGCAAGACAAGCTTTCTAACCATTACACCAAGTTCGAGGTGCCCTAGGAGAACATAGTATAGACTGAGCTAGAGGTAGCTTCCCACAACACCTCAAGTTGCTATGAAGCCAAAAATTAACCTGAAAAATCAAGTCATGTCCTTAAATAGTCTCATCAGATCGAAACTTTCATATGGATGCTATGCATGGCACCAACCTCATTCAGAAATATCTAAACTGTCAGCTGTAGACAACCACACTCTAATATCAATGGTTAAGAATGGCTTTGAGCAAGTAAAGTCTGTGAGTCTTGGCAAAGATAATCCTTCTTTGAACACTGTGGACTGGTGCTACAAAATCACAAATAATAAACTGTACCAAACAGCAAAAACAACATCACAACAGTAGCAACAACTAAAAAAGATATGTGCTAATTTGGTTTGCAATAAATAGTAAAATAGTGATATTTCTTATTATTTTTATTGACTAACAAGAGATAGCTATGTTAGTTTATTTAGAGAAGTTGCAATAAGTTTACTTCAAGCCATGTAAATGTTGCTAAAATGTATCACAAATAGAAAATATTCAAAACAGGTGTAGGCAAGTTAGAGGATGGTTCCATCGGCTTTTGTACCATAATTTCATTAGCCTAGGGGACCCTGGTTCTATGTAAAATAACGGGTCTAAAAGTATCAGAGCAAAGGACATTGAACAATGAGAAACAAATGTATATTTATTCTTAGTATAAATTTTATATATATATATATATATATATATATATATATATATATATATGTGTGTGTGTTTTCATTAGAACAGACTGACAAGGTACTACTGTTAAGTTATTTTTCTGTTCTTAAAATTTTCTTCTTTTCTGGACATAAATTATATAGAAATTGTCCAAATGTTTTGTATGTTCAAGGTATACATTTAGCCATACTATAAACACCTCTATAGGTTATTTAATGCCAAAATCTAAATATTTTGACCACAATGTTATGGCTTCAGCTTGTTGATTCCAATCTTAATTAGAAATGACTGCAAAATATTTTCCCCTCCCCATTTTATTGACAGAAGCACACAAATGCATGCTGGGATTTCTTCCTAGCCAGTAAAATAGGCCCATTCTCAGTTTCATCTAACTCAGTCCCAATCTGTCTTGAAGTCAGAATGCTATGTTCATTTGTTTGAATTTCCTTATGTATCAACCCCCAATTCTTAGTTTATGAACTTTTTACCATATTACTGTTGCTTTGCCTTGCATATATTGTTTGCTTGCTTTATATGGCTTTTTGCTCTGTTTTCTTTTTCTTGTTCTTGATTATTGCAAACTTTGTCAATTCTGTTTTATTGGACAATTCTGTTAGTTTTTTTGCATTTGACTATGGCTACTCCTCACAACAAAATATATCTTGAATGCAATTGCTTACCTTCAACTCCAGATAAAATCTATTGTCGGTAATACTACAATAAAATCTATTGCTGATCATTTTCATTTAAAATTGTATTGTTGGTCATTCTAATATAAATAGGTATTTTTGTTTATTCTACTATAAATTTGTATTGTTGGTAATTTTACTAGAAATATGTATTGTTGGCAATTGTTTTTAAATATAATAATGTATTGCTGATATTTTTACTATAAAAATGTACATTATTTATATTATTGTTCTCATCTTTGTTGCCATATTTATTACGTTTCAGCCGTTGTACACTCCGGCCTTCTTCAGGTGTTTGGAATGTCGAACTTAACCTCAAGGACACATGGCACAGTGGATGAAGGCGTTGGTTAGATCCAGTGTCAGGACCCAAAAGAGTGTGAGTTCAATACCCGGTTAAGACAGTGGAGAACTTTCAAAGGGAAATTAACAGGAGATAACTGATAACTGATATCCATCAAACATGGCACGTGGAACTAGAACATTCTACCCCAGTGAGCGAAATAAAGGGTTCAGTTCGACATTCCAACCACCTGAAGAAGGCCGGGGTGTATAATGGCCGAAATGTTGTATTAAATATGGCGACAAAGATGAGGAGATTGTCTGAATAATGTAAATAATGTACATAATACTTCATCTCAGAAATATAGACAGATATAAAAATGTATTTTTATATTTTCATAGTGTTTTGTTTTTGTTTGGGGGTTTACTATTTTTCCATAGCTAGGACCCTAACAGGTGCTACCACCCTGGGTCAGAGTGGACCTGGGAACAACAGCAATTAACAGGTGCCTTCAATCTTCCAATCAGAGGCCTTGTTGTGGGATGTAGTTTATCGTGATACTCAAGACTACAGGAATTACAAAGGAAAAGTTGGTCTGTTCTATTCCACCTGCCATATTCACCTGACCTTGGAACAACTGATTTTTCAATCACTTTGAAGGGGAAAACTTTCTGTAATGAAAACCAGACTCAAGATTTCATTGAAAACGTTTCCACATCAAAACATGTAGAATTTTGCTTAAAAGATATCAAAGTTAAGCAACAAGCTATCTGATAAGTGGCAATAAGTTGTTGGAAATATTGGAAAATATTTAATTAAATAAGATTGCTTGGTCAGCTGCTATAAAAGTTGGTTCACTGTGTCATTCCAGACAATTATTCTTGTCAGAATTCATTTTGCATATTTATAAATTTATTATTGCAACAACGAACCCGGTCAATTTAAATGCAATATCAATTGCTATCTTCTGTCTTCTGAAACCTGTTCTTTTATTGCCCTTTCTCCTCAATAGACTTTTCATTCTCTTTCACACCCAGTAACCCCCTCCTACTTGCATCTTAGTGGTTTTATTGCCTAGCTTGAGAGTGAAATGATTAAAAAAAAAAAAAAATTGTAATTTATTTTTAGAAGAATAAAGTAGATAAACAAATGCAAAAATTATTTATGACTCAAACCAGCATACAAATATATATATATATATATATATATATATATATATATAATAAACATACATGTTAATTATAATTATTTCTCTTTCAGATGTTAAAAAACTTGCTCAAGACCTGAGTACAGATGAACATACAATGAAACTTATTGTGGATGGTTTACTGCAACCAATCAACTATGATCTCCGTGATAGTAAGTATGCGCAATATATTTCTACTTACATTATTTGGATTATTCGGACTGTTATCCTCATCTTCATTGCCATATTCACGTTTTGGCTGTTGTACGCTCTGGCCTTCTTCAGGTGATTGGATCTCTGAAATGAGGTATTATGATTACTTGCATTATTTACATTATTCAGACTGTTATCCTCATCTTCATTGCCATATTCACGTTTTGGCTGTTGTACGCTCTGGCCTTCTTCAGGTGATTGGATCTCTGAAATGAGGTATTATGATTACTTGCATTATTTACATTATTCAGACTGTTATCCTCATCTTCATTGCCATATTCACGTTTTGGCTGTTGTACGCTCTGGCCTTCTTCAGGTGATTGGATCTCTGAAATGAGGTATTATGATTACTTGCATTATTTACATTATTCAGACTGTTATCCTCATCTTCATTGCCATATTCACGTTTTGGCTGTTGTATGCCTCTGGCCTTCTTCAGGTGATTGGATCTCTGAAATGAGGTATTATGATTACTTGCATTATTTACATTATTCAGACTGTTATCCTCATCTTCATTGCCATATTCACGTTTTTGGCTGTTGTACGCCTGGCCTTCTTCAGGTGATTGGATCTCTGAAAATGAGGTATTATGATTACTTGCATTATTTACATTATTCGGACTGTTATCCTCATCTTCATTGCCATATTCACGTTTTGGCTGTTGTATGCTCTGGCCTTCTTCAGGTGATTGGATCTCTGAAATGAGGTATTATGATTACTTGCATTATTTACATTATTCAGACTGTTATCCTCATCTTCATTGCCATATTCACGTTTTGGCTGTTGTATGCTCTGGCCTTCTTCAGGTGATTGGATCTCTGAAATGAGGTATTATGATTACTTGCATTATTTACATTATTCAGACTGTTATCCTCATCTTCATTGCCATATTCACGTTTTGGCTGTTGTACGCCTGGCCTTCTTCAGGTGATTGGATCTCTGAAATGAGGTATTATGATTACTTGCATTATTTACATTATTCAGACTGTTATCCTCATCTTCATTGCCATATTCACGTTTTGGCTGTTGTAACGCTCCTGGCCTTCTTCAGGTGATTGGATCTCTGAAATGAGGTATTATGATTACTTGCATTATTTACATTATTCAGACTGTTATCCTCATCTTCATTGCCATATTCACGTTTTTTGCTGTTGTATGCTCTGGCCTTCTTCAGGTGATTGGATCTCTGAAATGAGGTATTATGATTACTTGCATTATTTACATTATTCAGACTGTTATCCTCATCTTCATTGCCATATTCACAACATTTCGACCGTGTGTCCCAGTGGATAAAGACTTTGGTTAGATCCAAAGAGTTGTGAGTTCAGTACCATGCCACAGCAGTGGTGAACCAAACTTGGAAAGTTGAGTTGCTGTTGTCTTATGAATGCATGTAATTTTCTAGTAGTCAGCAATAATCAGTCAGTGAATGATTGCCACATTATACTACTACTACTACTACTACTTAATGTTCTGTTTACAAACTCTGTATGTTCCAAGTATGTTTAATTTGCTTTAAAATTGCTAAGCTTTGTAAGGAGTTTTACTCAAATAAAATCTAGGAAAGTTTTTTGAGATTTCAGTTTGTCCATAATAATGAACAACTGACCCTAGTCAAAAGTTTACAGAAAAACTCAAAAAACTTAAAACTAACTCAACATCATGAATATTTATAAGAAATAAACAGACTTGAAGAAGCTAAAAATTTGCTTACTAAACTCAGTAGTTTATTGATTAATAAATATTTTTCCTAATTTTTAAGTATCTATTTTAAGTAGTGAAAATAGTGTTGGTTAATATATATAACTGGAGCCTAAAAATTGCACAAAAATAAGTTAATTTTGAGTTTTGGTCATATTAGTTAAATCTATTGCATTTTTCTGCAATTCTTTGACAAGGTTCCTTATAGATAGACACTAGTCTCTTATCAAAGGGGTGATTATGTTTCAAAACTTCTAGTAAGCGCATGAACCAGCAGATATATTCAAAATCTATATAAACTGTTTTTTTCTTATGGCATGTACTAGATGCTCTAATCAACTCTGAATTGTTTAAGCATCTAATGTCGTAGGGTCTTCTTTCAGATAAGCAATACGGCTTTTGCATCTCTAGGTCAGTTGTTGATATATTAATGATTATTGCTCAAGAGGCTGTCAATCTTTAGATAAGAATAGTGATGCTGATGCTGTTGCTATGGATATCTCAAAGGCATCCAACAGGTTTTGGCAAACCAGCATCCTTCACAAGCTGAAAGCTGATGTTATTTCTGGATGAATTTTTGAACTGATTCAGTCTTTCTTATCAAACCCCAAAATGAAAGTTGTCTTGAATGGCCATTCTTCTAGATCTTTTTGTATTAATGCAGGTGTCCCCCAGGGCTTTATCTTTATGTTGTTCCTAATTCTTCATAATCAACCTTCCTGATGTCATCAGTTCTCCACTTGCTATCTATACTGATGACACAACTATTTACTCCTGTCTTAATAGTAAGTCTGATTGGTTTGATAAGGACAAATTCGCATCTGATCTCAAAAATGACCTATATTATGTTGTTAACTGGGGCAAGGAATGGCTTGTTAGTTTTAATACTTTCAAAACAAAACTGCTCTCTGTTAATCATCTGAGAGAATCCTTTCTGCTTTCCATCCACATGGCTGATGCTAGCCTCCAGAAAAGAGACTTGTTGCATTTTTTTGGCTAACATTTTCGCTAATATGAAGAGAAAAGATTCTATTGAATCAATTGCTAGGTCTGCTGCTAGGAAAGTTGGTTCACTGTGTCATGCTGGACAATTTTTCTCACCCAAATCTATCTTAAATATTTATAAGTCTATCCTTGCTTTGAATATTGCTGCCACATATGATCTAGTGCTCCTTCTATATATTTAGAGATTCTTGATAAAATCCAAAGAAGAATCCACAATATTATTGGTCCTGACCTGACAACTCACCTTCAGTCAACTTTTTACCTCTGTAATGTAGTTTCCCAGTGCCTTTTCTATAAATATTTCTTTCATGGTAATTGTTTGGATGATTTCTTCACTATGGTACCTAGACTTTATGAATTCTAGTGCAATACTAGACTGGCAGCAAGGTCTCATCAATTCACAGTTGAATTGGCTTAATGTAACTGTATGTTCTATGCTAACAGTTTCTTTCTTTGCACTTCTCACTTGTGGAACTCTCTTCTGGCTTCTTGCTTCCCAGTCAACTTTGATCTTCAAAAATTTAAATGCAATATCAGTCATTATCATCTGTCTTGTTAATTCCTGTTTTTTTATTGATCTTGTTTCTTAATGATACTTTTCTTTTTCTTATATCATTTCACATTCATTAACCTCTTACATCTTAGTGGCTTTGTTGCCTTGCTTGAGGTGAAATAATTAAAAGTGTGTGTGTGTGTATATATATATATATATATATATATAATATTATAAATTAACTGATTTAAAATATGTTTTTTTTGCTACACAGTAATAACCATGTTTCAAAAATGGAAGCTAAAAACTTTAAATTTAATTATATAATTAAATAAAAAGCATTAGTTCCATTTCATCTTCAAGCGAATATTGGAATAACTTATTTGTTTTTTATAGATTATTCCAATATTCGCTTGAAGATGAAACGGAACTAATGCTTTTAATTTAATTATATAATTAAATTTAAAATTTTTAGCTTCAATTTTTGAAACATGGTTATTACTGTGTAGCGAAAAAACATTTTAAATCAGTTAATTTATAATATTTATACTCTGTAAATTTACATTGAGCACTGTTTTGTAAAAATAAAAAATAACAAGAACACTGGATTATATATCTTACTGTTCTTTCTGTTTATGTGTATGTGTATGTATATGTATATATATATATATATATATATATATATATATATATATATATATATATATAAAAAATAGTACTTAGTCCTTACTGACACATTTCGTCATTTGATTTTATTAAGGCAAGTGATGATAAACAAAATGTTGTGTAGTTAGAGGAAATTCAAAAACTTTTAAAAAGACTCTCCTGTTTAAGCCTTTCTTGGGATATTATAGTAATTATATTTTTTGATTAAGTGTGTTACAATCAAAAAATTGCAAGAACTAAGTAATATTTAGTACTGATTTAACACATTGTCAACAAAAACACAATCTTGAGGAACCTGACTGCAATCTCCTTCATTTTACAGAATAAGCACATTTTAAAATAACATCCATAAAAATCACACTATAAGCAAAATCATTAAGATACGAAAAGCTGTAAAAAGACTATTAACTAAGTAAGGTTCTGTGCATTACAACTAGAGGAAACAATGCCAGTAATGGTGGCCAGACAATGTGAAAGAGATCAAACTTACATTGAAGATAAATTGAAAACAGTAATCAAACACAATATTTTAATGTCATTTTCAAAATTTTAAAATAAGCTTATTTTGTAAAATGAAGTTTTAAATGAATAATATTTTGTCTTTATTGTCCTTAATAAATCTGCTTATGGCTAATGAAACAGAATCTCACCCTAACATGTAATTTATGATGCTTCAAATTTACGAAACTTTCATGACACAAAAAAAAAAATTCATTGAAAAAAAAAAAGGAAAAATTCCTTTTTTTTTAAATTTTCAGGCACTAATTTTTATTTTATTTTAATTGTTGGATTTTAAGTTTTTTTTGCTTATTATTTCACACATTCATTTAAAACTTTGTGCATTGTGCAGTAATCAAGACAAGTGAAGCTTCCACACTGCATGACTACTTGAGGTAAACGTATGTAAACAAAGCCAGTAATGGTGGACATTCTGTGTACACAACAAGAAAGAAGCTGAACTTACATTGTTCATAACTTCTAAACAGTAATTGAGCGCAATTTTTTAATGGGATTTTCGAAATAACCAGGCAATTTCACACCAGAATGGTACATTTCTCAAAACGTGTGGGGGTGCTTTTGGTGCTTATACTGCAA